GCAATGCATGCCACTAGTTTCTCCATACAGGAGGCGTCTTGAAGCTGTCATTGACAACAAAGGCTTTTGTACAAAGTATTAGATAAATTTCAGTAAGAGTGTTCAATAATTTTTCCCTGTGCCATTCCACATTATTACAAATAACTTCATTTCTGGACATTTATGGTTTGATTTCTTTGTATGTATGGATGGATCACTTTGGTTGTTACCGACATCTGGTGAAAATGTCATGTCATTAGCACCTCTAGTAATATATTTAATGAGAAAAATGGTGACGTGTTCAATACGTATTTTACCCGCTGTATTTGTTTGTGTTTCTGAATGTGTTCAGGGCTCACAGAACATTAAACACAGCATATCAGAAATGTTACACCATACCTGCAGAAAGCTGTAATCTTCTTAAATAACAAATTAAAATCAGTCCAAACTGACAGACTAGAAAAATACATTTTTTCTTTATTGTAAAAGAAAACGTATCAAGTAATAATCTGTTTTCTTCTTCTGTTGCTACATTAATATATTGTTATTTTTACCAGCTCAAGAAAAATACATTTCACTGAGTAATTAGTTCATCTACTGTGTGTGGATGGGTTTTTCCTTTGGGAAATTTTTCCCAAAAAAGCAGCCTCCTGGGGACCAAAGTGCATCGTGGGGACATGCAAATTACAGGTGGTGGGTTAGGTTTAAGACCAAGGTTTAGGTTAGTTTTAGGGTCAGGTAGGTACCTGTAAGGTTAATTTTAGGGTATATGGTCAGGGTTAGGATATAAAATCTAAAAAACATAAATGGAAGTCAATGCACGGTCCCCAAGGTGTTCAAGAACAAAGTTGGGGTTGTGTGTATGTGTGTAGAGCTTAAGCTATGTATTTGTATTATAGCAATTCCTTGCAAAAGTCCTATAAATGTCTGATTGTTGCTGTTATTGGTATTAGCAGCCGAAAAGACCAGAGTCAGTCATGGAGTTTGATTCTAGTCATAGAAGTGAAGAAGAGGAGGAAGAGACAGATGTGGGGGGAGGACGAGGAGGAGATGTAAGAGTAGAGAAGAAGAATAAGGAAGAGGAGGAGAGGGAGCAAGACCCATAAAAAACAGTTCCAGCTACTCTGGAGGTTGGTTTTCATTTCACATTTGCTTTGATTTTTATGAAAAGCTACTTGTTTAATAAGCTTATATAAACTGACTTGTGTTATTTTTTTACTATCATTGAACACATAGGCCACACACACACACACACACACACACACACACACACACACACACACACGCACACACACACCCACACACACACACACAGGATTTGGTTATAGAAAAAAACTATTTGTTTATACTGTAAATAAAGCAATCAGATTAAAAATCAGATATTCATGTTAAAATGATGGTTCCATTTGCATCCATAGTGCGATCAGATTAAAGGCCTCCAAGCCGAGCTCTCAGGCTGAATTTAAACCTCGGTCCTCTCCTGACCTTGAGTGAAAAATATCCAACTTACCTTGAGACATTTTTGACTGAACATAAATCATAAAATGCTTTTCATAGCATTCAACAGTTACTCTAAACATAACATCTGATCAAGATGTTCAATACTGACATATTCAACCTTTAAATCTAACACAGGTCTATAAAATGGTCATTAACATTATTTTCCTCCCCAGACACCCCCCAGCACTGCTGTAAAAACACATTTATTTCAGTTTACACAGAGACAAAAGTAATAATAACTGCACTTATCTGGTGTCTCTTTTCTAATTTCCCAGATTAATCCAGCCAGCTCCCACAGTTATGAAACCATCAGTGTGAGTGCATATTTATTTAACATCAAACACGCTTTGCATGCAGGCTTTTGAAGTTAAATTAGACTGAGACAAAAAATAAAACATTTAGTTCACACTAAACAGAAACGAATGCAGTGAGTACAGAAGGACAAAAATAAAACATTTAAGAAACGGGTTATGGGTCATATCAGAAGCAAACTGCCCTCCCAAAGAGAGGCCTGGTTCTGCTGAACAAGAAAAGCTGCTTAAACAGACAAAGTTGTGTTACCAAAAAGTACGACCAAAATCAGAGCCACATAAAGTATAAAAAACATATTGATAACAAAAATAAAATCCATTTTCTCACCCATATGTTGTGAAAAGGGTCAGTAGTGTTTCCTGGGTCATATATGAGGCAGTTTCCTCCATAGTCCCGCTCAGGGAGGGGTACCCCTAAATTGGGGTCGATGTACTTCATGAACTGTCGTCCATCATGCACCGTCTGTTTGACGAGGTTCAGACAAAGAGAGGAAACCATCAGGACTTTTTAAGTGGAACCTATTTAGAATAAACATATCTTCAATTTACAATATTTCAATACATATACATTAAAAACAAAGGCTTTTAACAAGCTGTAATTATCACCTAATAAGTGCAAATGGATGCAGTATAAAATAAAAAAAATGAAGCATTACTTAATTGGCTTAAATCAGGGGTGTCTAAAGTGTGGCCTGGGGGCCATTTGTGGCCCCTGAACTGATTTTGTGTGGCCCCTGAAGAATTATACTTATTTGTTTACAAATTTGTTCCCCCGGCACAGGTGTAGATGGAGACTTTTATGTTTAATTAAGGCAAAATTATCACAGACAAAGTAAAATAATCTTCCAATAGAAAATATTGGTAACAATACCAATTATTTCTCTTTAAATAACCAGGCTCTTGGCTTTTTCCACATCTATCCAGTGACTTCTACTCAGAAGCTGATTTTGCTGCACTCCAATTCACTTTTTAACTTATTAAATTTGTCTAGATACAGCAAGCATTTTCAATGAAAGAGCGTGAAAATGTGCGGTGCCTCACGCCAGCTCTGACCCATGTGTACGCTCATTGTGGAGACGTGAAACTGCAACACAGATGGTGAAGTGGTGAATTATAGCCACAATGTGTAGTGATCACTGTCAGATATTTAATTTCACTTAACCAGACTTAGATTTTTATTCAACTTTATCATCAGCTTTCTTAACAGTAGGCTAATATTTATGCTTCTGCTGCTGAGCCAGAAAGAGCTTTGAAATAAAAAAAAACTTAAATCTTAAATAAAAGTTCCCATGCGCAAATCCCTTCATCTGCTTCCTCCTCAGACGACCCTGACCCACAG